GGAATAGCCAAAGAACTTATATGTATGAATCATGGATATAAACAATGGTGCAGGGATTGCCTGAGAGAGTGGTGGGGTGCTGGGTGGAGGGATGCAAAGGGGGAAAAAGTGGGACACCTATAATGGTATAATCAATAAAATATAATTAAAAAATAGGATATTAATGGATAAAAAATAAATATTAATGGATTCTATTTATTGAGAACCTTTTATATGCCAAGTATTCTGCAAAGATATCTTTTATACATTTGATATATTACTAGTTATAAGAGATCTAATTTTTTCAAACTCTATATTAAAATATACATATAAACATATACACATGATAAGGGTACATGTTGATTGTTTTAGATTAAAATTTGTTACACTTTGATCATACTTCATTATCAAATAGCAACCACTACAAATGATAAAACATAGACTCCTGCTTCCCCCTGCAACCTAACTCCAAGGAATTAACAATTAACTTTAAAGTGCTGATCCATATTCTTTTACTGTATATATAAGCATATTTCTATACTAATATATACATATAAGATTTATGTACATGGGTATGTTTGTATGTGTGTATATATAGATGATATGTAATGAGAGAGACAAGTGATCTATTATTTTAAAGATTTTATTTATTTATTTTTAGACAGGGAAAGGGAGGGAGAAAGAGAGGGAGAGAAACATCAATGTGTGGTTGCCTCTCACACGCCCCCTACTGGGGACCTGGCCCACAACCCAGGCATGTGCCCTGACTGGGACTGAACTGGTGACCCTTTGGCTCACAGGCCCTCGCACAAACCACTAAGCCACACCAGCCAGGACACAAATGACCTATTTTTATCTCCATTTTAAAGATGAAGACCTTGAGGCTGAGAAATGCAGTGCATTGCTGCAGGCCACCCAACTATGAACAGAAGAACCAGGGTTTCAGGTATTTCTAATTCCAAATCCTGGACTCTAGATGTGCAACCATCCATCCAAGTGCCTCCTGAACTACACTTCAGCATCCTCTTGCCACACACCTTATGGATTTGATTATAAAGGCTGTAAAATTCAGTCCGATGTCACAAAGCCACCAACTGCAATAAAAAGTTGGCTCCTGAGTATTTCATTACTTAGCTTACCTGGTTACTTGACATTTTTTGAGACCGACTCTCAGTTTTGGGGCTCTTACTCTCTTCTTTAACTGGAGACAAGAAAATAGAAATTTTGGTAAATGAAAGAACTTGCTGCACACTAATTAAATTTACCAAATCTTACCACCACAAGGTACTATGTTAAAAATTCACATAATTCCAAGACGAAGGTTCTGATCTTGAGGAACTTACAATCTAGATGAAGGGGAGAGGAGATACAGATAACAACAACACGAAAAAAGAAAAGATGGCATCTAATTGAGCCTTGAAGGATAACAGGTTTCCAATGGGCAAAAAAGGAGGCTAAGTATTCCAGGCCAAGGGAATAATAGGAGAAAAGACATGGAAACAGAGAACAAGGAATGTGGTTTTAAACTTTGAATAGCCTAGTTCTGCTGGACATTAAGGAGTGTAAGTAATGGAGCTTAACTGAACTCAAGAGGAAGGTTGGTGCTACAATCAGAGAGGTATTAAAGACTATGGAACTAAACTGGTAGACCAAAGGCAACTATCCACAGAAAGGTTTTCAGGAGATAGTAGTGATCTGATCAGAATTATGCATTAGGGGAAATTAAAATATGGCACTGGCTTATTGATTAGATAGAAGGAGACCAATTAGGAAGCTATTTTAGTATTAATGTTAAAAGGAAACTGGGGAATAACAGGAGAAATTAAACTAATGAATAAGAAGAGGAAGAAAAGAAGGAAGGGATGCAAAGGAAGGAAGGAAAAAGAAAGGGACAAAAATATACAGGAATGGTGAGGAAAGAAGTAGGGGAAGGGGATGGGAGGGAGGAAAAGGGATGGGATGAAAGGAGAAAAGGAAGGGACAAAGCTAGAATAGGAAGGAAAGCGTGGAACAAAGAGAGGGAAAAGAAAGGGGGAAGAGGAAGGAAGGAGAAAGAAGGTAGGAAAGGAAGTAATTTTGCAAAAAGAAGAGAAAAAATGAGTTGACAGGAGTTGACCCTTTACTGAGACACACACAGGAAAACTAGTTAGAATTCCACATGATACAAATAATTTACATACATTTATAAAAATAATTTGAACAATAATCACAATGTATTTCAATTAAATATAAAATCTTCAAGCTATATTTATCATATTTATAAAGTCATTAATCTGACTTCTGGTCAAGATAGAGGTATATATAAACATGCTTTGCTTCCTTGCACAACCTCAGAAAAAATTACAAGTATCACCTAGAACTGTCAGAAAATCAAACTGTATGGAAGTCCAACAACCAAGGATTTAAAGAACCCAAATTCATCCAGACAGGGAGCAGAGGCAGAGATGCAGAGACGGGTGGGGCAGTGCAGAGATGCAGTGTGGCACAGAGAGGCAAAACAGGAGGTCCCACATTCACATATGGTGAATAAAAATCAGGAGTGAATCCTCCGGAGTGAGGGATCCCAGCCCTAGGCCAGACCACACAGTCCAGGGTTCCAGTGCCAGGAAGATAAATCCCCATAACTTCTGGTTGTAAAAACCAGTGGGCATTGGGGTGGCGAAAAAAACGGCTGGATTTTCAGAATAATCCTCTTAAAGGGTATGCACACTTAGGACTGACACAGACCTACCCCCCTTGGATTCATTGACAGGGCAACAGCTGGATGGGCATACCAGTGGTGTAGGGGGAGAAACTGAAGTGACTGGAAACAGGGTGAGTGCTGGGAGACAGCTTCCTCTTGGGCAAACCTCCAGAAGCCAGGCAGCAGCACTGCCCCTCTCCTAGCCGTCCACACACACAGAGCCAGGAAGCAGTGAAATGGGTTGCCCCACCCTAGTGATTGCCGATGGCTCCACCCCACACAATTTACAGGTTCCTTTTCTGTAACAGGCCACGCTACTAAGACAGGGATTCAAAACAGCTCTACCTAAAACACAGAAACAAACACAGGGAGGCTTCCAAATTGAGGAGACAAAGAAATATGACTGAAATGAAAGAACAGAACAGAACTCCAGAAAAAGAACTAAATGAAATGGATAAGCAATGTATCAGATGCAGAGATCAAAACACTGGTTAGTTATCAGGATGCTCAAAGAACTCATTGAGCAAGGCAACAGCATAAAAAAGACCCATGCAGAAATGAAGGTTACATTAAGTGAAATAAAGAAAAACCTATAGAGAACCAATAGTGGAGGGGATGAAGCAGAGATTCAAATTAATGATTTGGATCATAAGGAAGAAAAAAAGCATTCAACTGGAACAGCAAGAAGGAAAATTAATTAAAAAAACCAACCAAACAAGGATAGTCTAAGGAGCCTCTGGGACACCTCCAAACATACCAACATCTGAATCATAAGTATGCCAGAAGAAGAAGAGGACCAGCAAGGAACTGGAAACTTATTTGAAAAAAAATGAAAGAAACTTCCCCAGTCCGGTAAAGGAAATAGACATACATGTCCAGGAAGCACAGAGAGTTCCACACAAGTGAGACCCAAAAAGAACAACACCAAGACACATCATAATTAAAATGCCAAAGGTTAAAGACAAAGAGAGAATCTTAAAAGTGGCAAGGGAAAAGAAGAGAGTTATCTACAAAGGAGTTCTTGTAAGATTATCAGCTGATTTCTCTAAATAAACTTTGTAGGCTAGAAGGGACTGGCAAGAATTATTCAAAGCGATGAAAAACAAGAACCTACAACCTAGAGATTACTCTATCCAGCAAAGTTATCATTTAGACTGGGAAAACAGACAATGTGCTTCACAGACAAGATAAAGCTAAAGGAGTTCATCATCACCAAGCCATTATTATGTGAAATGTTAAATGTTATTTAAGAAAAAGAGGAAGATAAAAACTATTAACTTAAAATAGTAACAAATTGACAACTATGAACAACTGAATCTGAAAAACAAATTAAGCAAACAACTACAAGAGGAACAGAATCATAGACACAGAGATCATTTGGAGGATTACTAGCTGGGAGAGGAAAAGGGGAGAACGGGAAAAGTTTCAGGGATTAAGAAGCATAAATTGGTAGGTACAAGATAGATAGAGGGTGTTAAAAATAGTATAGGAAATGGAAAAGTCAAAGAACTTGTATGCATGACCCATGAACACAAACTAACAGTGGGGGATTGCTAGAAGGAATGGGGGTACTGGGTGGAGGGGGGCAAAGGGGGAAAAACTGGGACAACTGTAATAGCATAATCAATAAGATATATTAAAAAATAGACATCAATCTATATTTAACTTAATATATAAAAGAAAATAATATTGATACAAAATCATAGTCTAGCCCTGACTGGTCTTAGTTGCTTGGGTGTCATCCCATGAAGCAAAAGGTCGCTAGTTTGATTCCCTCTCAGGGCACATGCCTTGGTTGGGGATTCAGTCCCCAGTCAGTGGGCATACAAGAGGCAACCAATCAACGTTTCTCTCCCCCTTTCTCCCTCCCTTGCCCTCTCTCTAAACATAAATAAAATCTTAATAAAATATATAGTCTAATAGTTATGAAACTGAACCAAAGTCATAAAGCTACATTAAATTTTTTAAAAATCATTTTAGAAAAACATTTTAAAAATTATTTTTAAAACTACAAGTCCTATGTAAATGCATAAAAAGCATGCATATATAATATATAATAAATCAGAATCAAGACCATGCAGTTGATGTTTTCTCTACTGGAAATCTCTTCAGCTAGCTTTCTGCATAGCTTATAACATTGCACTCCCATTTATTTGTGTTTCTGTTCAAATATTATGTTCTCATATAGGCATTCCTTGACCACCTATTTAAAACAGGACACCTATCATTCAATACTCCTAATCTTTATTTTTCATCATAGGATTTATCATTACTACAGATTATGGAATGTATTGCTTCTTTGGCTATGATCAGATTCCACTTTAGAATGTAAGAACTTATACTCTGGTTTCTCTTCAGATTGTACAAATCTTTCACCTTTTACTAAAGATTTCCATGGAGAGAAACAACTCTTAAGTTTTTACCCAATTTTTTGAGGCCTTCCATTTGCAGGGCTTATTGGGAAAAAAAAAGTAAAAACTTGTCTGTTTTTCATTCATGCATTCCCAGCAACTCGCACATAATCACTCAAGACATAGCAGCTGAATAAATAAATGATTCAGGAGAAGAAGACAGCGGCGAGGTAGAAGGGAGCAGATTCCACTTCTCCCTACACATGGGAGAGAAACCTAGCCAATCTACAAAGGAACAGAGCAAAGAGCCAACAGTACCCTAGCATATATGAAAATAAGAGACCAAAAACTATAGCAGACACTGAAAAACCAGAAGGTAAGGAGAGTGCTTCAGGACAATAAGGTCCCAGGGACCAGTGTAGGGACCAGGGCAGTTGCAACCCCTGGCCTGGAGCCCGCAGCTGGGTTTGCCACAGAGTCCTTGGGAGAGAGCCGGGTCAACTGCTCCCTCCCCGGTCAAACAAGGGTTAAGCAGCATCGGTACAGACGTGACTGTTTGAAGTCTCAGAGAGGGGAATAAGGACTAAGTGGCAAACACACAGGAGCTGTGAGCATCTGTGGAGCTTTTGACGTCAGTTGGGGAGAGTTGACAGTCGCACAGTGATGGGCCCTGACCCTGATAGTCACTGGTCTGGCTGGAGAATTGGGCTATGCGAGAGGCCAGGCTGCTGGATGGAGCAGCAGGCTTGAGTAGGAGGAATTTCTCAAAAAGAAAAAGTGAAAAGAGAGACACTGTTTGGGAAATTCTCCTGCAGCAACCGCTCTGGCCTACTGCCCACCCAGCCAAGCAGCAATTCCGAGGTTGTGTGGAAGGCCCTGCACACTGCCATAGCACTGGGAAGGGTGCGCACCCAAGCTCGCAGGACCTAGGCAGCCTGGGTAAGCACGTGCCTGCACCCCAGTCCACAGCGGTAACCCTGGGGAAACAGCACTCTGAGGAAGGCCTGGATCCCCCATCCAAGGTGCCAGGCTAGCTCTGGGGAGAGTGCATACCAGACTGAGTGCAGATTAAGAAGGGAGAAAAGCCATACTAATCACCCCTCAGCCTCTTGCAGCCAGCAAGACCAGAAAAACCGGTTTGGCCAGTTTTAACCCAATCGGAGGTTTTCTTCTTCTTTTTTTTTTTAAGAAATCTTTTATTTTTTAAATTTTATTATTGTTTTATCTTTCAGTTCCTTTTCCCAATTTCCTTCTTTCTTGCTTTATTCCTTCTTCCTTTCTTTCCAATTTTATCTCTTCTTCCTCCCTTCTTCTGCTTCTTTTTAAAAAAATACCCACAAGGAGACAAAATAAAAAACAAAAACAAAACAACAACCCAGAACTGTGAAAAGACCAGAGTTGGACCCAAAGAGGAGATTTGCCAACAGGTGAGACGGTGAGACAAATTTCACTTTGCTATTATAGAGAATGTGCAAGTTAATGCAGATTTCTATTATTATTATTTTTTCATTATCCTTACATCTTTTATTTTAAAAGCATTTTTGAATTCCTCTTCTTTGTGTACAGTCCTCTTTCCTTGGCTGGTTATATTGTATCATTTGACAAATTTTCCCTGTTCTCTCTTTCATAGTGTATTGCTAAACTGACTGTCCTTCACTTCACTTATGTTCCATTAGCACACTGCTCAAGGTCCTATACTCCTATTCTTGTTATCCAGATCACATAGATTCTGCCATATGACATTGCTCTAATATTATTGTAAATAATAGCTGTTCCATACACTTGTAAATACTTAACAACACCCCTCCCAGATCTTAGCCCACCTCAGTTTCCTGAACTCTATTACCGTAGTGGTTAAATTTATTCTCTTACCCACTACACCTATTTCCTATCCTTTACTCTCACCTTACCTCAGAATCTGACCTCCCACAACTTCAATGCTTTCTATATCCAACTCACATTCCTTCCCTCCCCAACAAGAGTCTCATCTTCTTCCCACACTTTCTAAACAGTGGCTAGTAGGGTGGAAGATCACGGTTAACACTATACACAGCCAAAGGATCTCCTATATCTTCTATACAGGCTACTACTGTAAATATCATAGAATACTCTCTTGCTGTCTTAAACTATTTTGCCTTCCCCCTCCAACTGATGACAAAAAAGAATAGGTGGAGGCGGTGAACACCAGGATACCGACTGGAAGAGGAAACCCAACAACAAAGGAACCACTAACAGAGAACAACAGAAGGTGAAGGAGGGAGTGGAAACCACACAAACCTCAATACAGGACCTATCTGGAAATACAACTAAACAGTAGAGACAGTACCCAATACAAACAACTGAACAAGAGCAAGAGAGAATCCCCAAAACCTTATACACACAGAAGAACCAGCTTCAACACAATCTGCCCTCACCCGCACAACAAAATACAAGAGGTGGTGGACAGAGTGACCCTCAGTTAACCAGCTGGTGGGAAGGACCCACCAAAGAAAGACCCAACAACAATCAAAACCCAAAGACAAACACAGAGCCAACTTAAATGACAGCCCAAGACCAGTGAGCTCAGGAGATCAAGGAGACGGGACCACTAAATCTCACATGTATTCTACCACAGAAGTTCACACCATAAATACGGGGAGCCAGAACAGATCAATTTAAGAAGCTGGGGAAAACAAGAAGAGTCTCGCAAACAATGGGAAGACAAAGAAACAATCCCCAAATGAAAGGAAAGGAGGAAGCCTCAGAAAGAATGCTAAATGAAACAGTAGCAAGTCAACTATCAGATATTGAGTTCAAGGCAATGTTTATCAGGAAGCTGAATAAGCTCACAATGAGCTACCAGAAATTATAAGGAAACTGCAATGAATTCACTGCAAACTATATCGACATGAAAAAGGAAATAGAAAATATCAACAAGGGCTAAGAGGAAACGAAGAAGACAATTTCTGACCTGAAGAACACAGCAGAAAAAATCAAAAGCAGGATCAATGAAGCAGAAGATCGGATCAGTGAGCTAGAGGACAAGTAGAAGAAAACACCAAGAAAGAGAAAGAAAAGGAAAAGAGGCTCAGAAAGAATGAAGAGGGATTAAAAGAAATGCAAGACAATATGAAATGTAATAATACCCGTATAATTGGGATACCAGAAGAAGAAGAGCAAGGGATAGGAAACCTGTTTGAAAAAGTAATGATGGAAAATGTCCCTAACTTGATGAGAGAAAAAGTCACACAGATGCAGAAAATGCAGAGAGTCCCAATCAAGAGGAGCCCAAAGAGGCCCACCTCAAGACACATCATAATTAAAATGGCAAAATTCCAAGACAAACAGAGAATCTTAAAGGCAGCAAGGGAGAAACAGGAAGTAACATACAAGGGAGCCCCAATAAGGCTAGCAGCTGACTTCTCAATGGAAATGCTCCAAGCCAAAAGAGAATAGGAGGAAATATTCCAAGTAATGAGAACCAGAGGCCTGCAACCAAGACTCCTTACCCAGCAAGGCTCTCAATCAAGATACATGGCCAAATAAGGAGTTTCCCAGAGAAAAGAAGTCTAAAATACACCTCCACCAAACCAGCTCTGCAAAAATGCTAAAGGGACTGCTTTAAGGAAAGGAAGGAAAACAGAGAGACACAGAGGAACACAGATACAAAAATGGCAATGAATAAGTACCTATCAATAATAACCTTAAACGTAAATGGATTAAATGCTCCAATCAAAACACAAAGAATAGCTGAATGGATAAGAAAGCATGACCCACACATACGCTGCCTAAAGAGACCCACCTCAAAACAAAAGACCTATATAGATGGAAAGTGAAGGGCTGAAAACAAATATTCCAAGCAAATGGACAGGAAACAAAAGCCAGGGTAGCAATACTCATATCGGACAAAATACACTTCAAAAAAAGGGCCATAAAAAGAGACCCAGAAGGTAACTTCATAATACTCAAGGGAAGAATCTACCAAGAAGACAGAAACATTGTAAATATATATGCACCCAACATGAGTAGCACCCAATTCCATAAGGAAAATCTTAGAGGACTTCAAGAAAGATATTGACAGCAACACAATTTTAGTGGGGGATTTTAACACCCCACTGTCAAAAAAAAACCAGATCTTCCAAACAAAATATCAACAAAGATATTGTGGCATTGAACAATGCCCTAGATGAAATGGACTTAACTGATATATATAGAGCCCTTCAGCCCAAAGAAGCTAAATACACATTCTTTTCAAACGCACATGGAACATTTTCAAAGATAGACCACATGATAGGACACAAAACAAGCTTCAACAAATTCAAGAAAACTGAAATTATACCAAGCATTTTCTCCAACCACAAGGGACTGAAACTAGAAACCAACTCCAAGGGGAAAACCCCGAAACAGTCAAAATCATGGAGATTGAATAGCATGCTATTAAACAATGAATGGATCAAGAATGAGATTAGGAAAGAAATCAAAAAGTTTCTGGAAACAAACGAAAATTAACTCACAACAACCCAAAATTTATGGGACACAGCAAAGGCAGTCCTGATAGCGAAGTTCAGGGCGATACAGGCCTACCTAAAAAAGTTAGAAAATTTCAACCAAACAACCTAATCCTACGCCTACAAGAACTTGAGGAACAACAACAAAGACAGCCCAGAGCAAGCAGAAGGAAGGAAATAACCAAGATCAGAGCAGAGTTAAATGACATAGAGACTAAAAGCACAATTCTAAGGATCAATGAATCCAGGTGCTGGTTCTTTGAAATGATAAACAAAATCCACAAGCCTTTAAGCAGGCTCATCAAGAAAAAAAGAGAGAAGACCCAAATAAACACAATAAGAAATGAAAGAGGAGAGATTACAACTGACACCACAGAAATACAAAGGATTGTAAGAAATTACTACAAAGAACTATATGCCAAGAAATTTGAAAACCTAGGTGAAATGGACAAATTTCTAGAAAAATCTAATCTTCCAAAACTGAATGAAGAAGCAGAAAGCCTGAACAGACCAATTACAGCAGATGAAATTGAAGCAGTAATCAAAAAACCCTCGACACACAAAAGCCCTGAACCAGATGGTTTCACAGGAGAATTCTACAAACCATTTAAGGAAGA